TCATTTAATATGTTTGTCAAGCTAATAGTCTCCTTAGTTTAAGCATTTTCTTTCTGCCTTCTATGTACAGACAAGGAAAGTTCTCCAGGGTATCTTAAAACAAGAAACAAGGTGCAGAACAGCATAAGAAAGTCACAGGTAAATAAGCATTAAGATATTTGCTTATATACACAAACACACTGAAAGGATGCACAATAAAATAATGAAAGTAATAAGGGAAGAGATGTAAGGTGGATGGGGAGGGGCACACCAAGGACTTTTTAATCTATGCATTTTTATATTTTTTGAGTCATACGAGCATGTTTTATTCTTAAAAAAATTTCTTCTCAAATGCTCTATTTCATGCAAAAACTAAGATATTCTTATGATCAAGTCAGTTCGAAAGTATTGTTTTAAGACTATTTATTTATTTGACAGAGAGAGAGTATACAAGTAGGGGGAGCAGCAGAGGGAGAGGGAGACGCAGGCTCTTTGCTCAGCAGGGACCCCAGCTCGGGGCTCCATCCCAAGACCCCAGGATCACAACCGGAGCTGAAGGCAGACACTCAACCAACTGAGCCACCCAATTTGAAAGTATTGCAAGCTGAATACCAACACTGTTGTCAGCTGGATCAATAGCTATGTAATGCTTAAAAATTACCTGACTTTGATCTCGTTTCTTTCTGCTGTACTTTTAATTGTTACAAGTCAATCAGAATTTATTTGTTTATTTATTTGAGAGAGAGAGAGAAGCGGGGAGAGGCAGTGGGAGGGAGAGAATCAATGCCCAGTGAGGAGCCTGACACAAGCCTTGATTTCACAGCCCTGAGATCATGACCTGAGCAGGAATCAAGAGTGGGACACTAAACTGACTAGCTACCTGCGTGCCCCTAAACAGAATTTTAAAACACATATAGTTTAAGTGTGCTTTACTAGCTCTCAGACTTCATGGGTCTCTTTTTTTGCTGAGACCTCTCCCTCCTATAGATAACAAACAAGAGCTTCAGTTTCTAGTTTGGTTTTGTTTGGCTTGGCTTAGCCAATTCTTCTATTGTCTGTTCCTACTCTTCCCTCAAAATGCAAAGTGATGACACTCCTTGTGCCTTATCCGTGCTTCCATTCAGGTATTTTGTTTTCTCTAAAAAGGAGTAGGTACAGAAGGATGGACTTAGCCATACTAAGTCCCAGGGAGATCCATGTACTGTTCCTCCCATCGTTTAACTGGTATTCACCTCACAAAAGCAGCTGCCTCTCAAGTTGGGGGTTCAGAGGAGTTTAGTTTATATACCATTTATTAAGCACCTAATGTGTGCCAGGCACTATGCTTGGTGCTGGAAATACAGATATCAAAATACAATTCTTGCCCCAGAAGTTCAGAGCCTGGAGCGGACATGGATGGGAAAGCAGAGGTATAATACAACGGGTTAAGTATTGAGATTGAGGTCAGCCGAAGGTGCCCCAGTTCAGGTTGGAGTGTGGGCAGAGTGGTGGGATTGAGGCGGGTTGGTAGGGGAAGATTCTCAGAAGACGTGATATGCACTAGAGTATGAATAGGAGTTAGTCAGGGGCATAGAGTAGACACAGATGAAAAAATGTGAACAATGGTCCAGAATTCTAAGCAATATTTGGGTTTGTGATACAGTATATGCTACAACTGGAGGATAAAGTCCAAGCTGGAAGAAGCAGAAGCTAGAGGTGACTCAGGGAGTCTTTCCCTATCTTATCATACCTTGGGGGCTCCTATCACTTGCCAACCCAGAAGCCAGGTTAGGGATTCCCAGTATCATTTTAGGTCCACAGGGAGAAGACACAATGTCTGTGTTACCTGGGGAATAAACACTTCCCTTGAGTGCCATGCCGAAGAGTGTTGGATGATGACTATGGCCCTCCGCGGTTGGTCAAACTCCATCCTTTTTCTCATTCCTACTGTATTGCCCCAGGACTTTGGGGACTGCTGGGCTTGGGGTGGGGGGTTAGCAGATGGAGGTAGAAACATTCCCAGGCATCCTTGTTGAATGAAGGGTCAGCCTCTTTCAGATTTATCAGAGATGGAGTCTGGGAAATTTCCATTGAATTGCAAATCTCCCTTGAGTCTTTCAGTAATTATTTTCTCTTTCTCTCTCATGATTTTACCTCAGTCTTGTGTCTCTCTTCTCTAGCAGGCACTGCCACCAGCCAGGCTCCTAATGTCTAGATTAATCAACCCGCATTTGGGGGAATCTCCATTTGAAACTGAAGTTATGCATGAAGGATCCTACCCAACGATGGAGGAATTGGTTAGAAACCAATAACTTCTTCAGCCTCTTCCTTCTCTGCACTTGGGCTAATGCTTGGATTTAGGGAGGAAAACTGACAGTTTGTAGGTACACTCATCAGCAAAGCTGTGAAGACCTGGCTTTAAATGGAACATTTCTCAACTATTAGAGGTGAAAGCAACTGTAGGTAAGTGCAGTAAGTCCTTTCATAGATAAATGGTTTAACCTCTCCATATTCACCCTTTGCACTCCAACCCCATGTTATTCTCAGGCCATTGTCCTTCACTTGGAGTGTCCCTAGTCAAGCCTAAGGCCGTGATCACATTGCACAAGACGCTCTTTCTACAGGAAGGGAAAGGTGGGCGCGATGGCTGAGCTTCACGCGGCCCTAAGAGGGGCAGTGGGATGCAGTCACCTCAGGATCAGAAAGCCCCTTTGTTCACAAGGTAGAGGAACAATTCTACCCATGAGAAAAGCACAAGAGAAGAAGCAGATTACCCAATTGCTGCCTGCTTTCCCAAGTGCTTTGCCACCCTTAGGAACTCCAGGCTCTTGTGAAAAGGACCAGGGTGGAGCAGACCGTTGAGTCATAAAAAGGGAAAGAGAATTCTTAGAAGGCGATCCCCACCCTCGTGGAACAACAAGGACGTTCAAGGGTAGGTAGGAGGGATTCCTTCCGTATTTGAGGTTGGGATTCATCTTCTTCTCACTTAAGATATAGTTAGGTTCAGTTCAGTGGAAATACTTTCACAGAGAGCCAGAAGAGCCCCCTTCGAGGTGACTAGTTCTATCTCACTCCACTCCACACCTTGTATTTCATGCTTCAGCCCAAATGTACCGTGTTACATGCTACTCTTTTCCATCACAAAACCTCTTTTCTCTCCTATGGAATCCATACTCATTTTTTTAGCATCTATTTTAGGCCTCAACCTTCTCCAGAATGCCCTTCATCTCTCTAAATCTCAGTTTGGCTCTTTTCCCACAACCTCCTTTGGCCTTATTCTTACCTGTGACATTCCATCTGTGACCCATATTACCTTCTCTGTCCTTCTCATTAGGCAGTGAGCTACATGAGGTAGTGACAACATCTCCTCTAGTTCTGAATCGCCGAGTATACCTGGTGCCCAATACATAACCAATACAGAAGAATTGGATGATTTTATTGACAGTAAGGTAATTTCTATAGAAGCTGGAGGGAGATGAGCCTCTGAATGGAATCCCTAGGGAGAAAGACCACGGAATTGCTTTATCCTAGACAAAGGTCCAAAAATGTCTCCTACAGACATTGTAAGTAAAGAGGTTACTGTTTGCTGGGAACAAAGACTGTTGGAGTGTGCCAGAGAACACAGGGCTGAGAACTGGAGCCTAGGTCTAATCTCATGCTTTGCATGGCTAAAGGTGATCGTATTCTAGTAACTGAGGCATTTTTAAAACCAGGTTTCAGACTATCATTGATTTGATTCTTATAACTGGTGGTGATCTTCAAAACTGGAAGGATTTGAATCAAATGGGAAGGACTTCATTTCTGATTTCATGAGTCATTACCTGGAATTCCTAATTCTGTCTTTGGCAAGTCACCTCATGGAACCCAAGTTTGTGAAAGGGCTTTGGATCCATGTTATGGACTGAAAGAGCGTAAGAGACTCATCCTAGGCGTGCCTGCATGACTCAGTGGGTTAAAGATCTGACTCTTGATTCCGGCTCAGATCATGATCACAGGTCATGATCTCAGGGTCCTGAGATAGATCCCCAAGTCTGGCTCTGCGCTCAGCAGGGAGTCTGCTTCTCTCCCTCACCTTCTGCCCCTCTCCCTGCCCAGAAGTGTGCACACTCTCTGTCTCTAAATAAATAAATCTTAAAAAAAAAGAAAAGAAACTCATCCTAATATTCCCCTGATTACTTAGATTAAAGTTGACACTAAATAAATAAATGTGGATCCCTGACTGAGTGATTCAGTGTAGTTTAGTCCTGTTCTACCTTTTGAATATGCCATAACTTGCTTTAGATAGGCAAGCATTTTATGACAAGCTGAGTTCAGTTAGTCTCTTAGGTTGCTGGGGGAAATTCTCCATGAAAAAGGTAATTTTATAAAATAGATGTACTAATGACCTAGATTCCTATGACTCAATCCACAGCTGAGCAGGTGAAGGACAAATGAGCTGGATGCATTGATCATCTTCCAAGGAAATGGCAAGCCAAGTCTAGAGTCTGGTGCCCAAACTTATAGGGCTTTCTCTCCACAGCATTTGTCACCTAAGTGCTAGAAACTCTTGAATGCTTTACACTCTTATTTCACTTGCTTCTCACGGCATTTCACAACTGAGGAGCACAGGAGTGGTTCTTAAATAATTTTCCCAAGGTCACTTGGCTAGAAAATGGAGATGCTGGAATTCAAAGCTATGCAGTCTGGCTCAAGTCCTGATCCTGGTGGAATGGGAATCATATTCTTCACGAAATCATTTTTTTGATCTTTTTGTCCAGCTCAGATGGTCAATGATATCATTATTATAAATGTGAGGCATTGCCATTTAAGATCTGAGGATGGAGGTTCCTGGCCTTTCCATACCTAAGTGTTAGATACCCTTGCTGGAAAATCTTCTGCAGCTTTAGAAGTCATTAGGTGAAGGCCTCAGGTTCTTCAGATCTCTACAGCGACTGGAGAAGCGGGGATACGTGTGCCATATCACAATAAGTTTCAGCATTGTTCTGGAGAAGATGCATCCCCCCCCAGCACATGTTGGTGCTGTCGCGCAGGTGAGAAAGAGAATGGCTCCTGGCGAGAACCAGAGCAGCGGTGTGACCGAGTTCATCTTGGCAGGCTTCCCAAATCTCAACAACACGAAAGCAGAAGTGTTCTCTGTCTTCCTTCTTGTCTACCTGCTGACTCTAACAGGCAACATGCTGATTGTTGGGGTGGTGGGAGTGGATGCTCGCCTGCAGACCCCCATGTACTTCTTCCTGAGCAACCTGTCCTGCCTCGAGATCTTGCTCACTTCCGTCATCATTCCCAAGATGCTGAGCAATTTCCTCTCCAGGCAACACACCATCTCCTTTGCTGCATGCATTACTCAATTCTATTTCTACTTCTTTCTTGGGGCCTCTGAGTTCCTGCTGTTGGCCGTCATGTCTGTGGATCGCTACTTGGCCATCTGTCACCCTCTGCACTACCCCTTGCTCATGAATGGTGCTGTGTGCTCTCGAGTGGCCTTGGCCTGCTGGATGGGGGGACTTGTCCCTGTGCTTGGCCCCACGGTGGCTGTGGCCTTACTTCCCTTCTGTGAACAGCACACTGTGGTGCAGCATTTCTTCTGTGACAGTGGGCCCCTGCTCCGCCTGGCATGCACCAACACCAAGAAGCTGGAGGAAACAGACTTCGTGCTGGCGTCTCTGGTCATCATATCCTCACTGATTATTACTGCTGTGTCCTATGGTCACATAGCTCTGGCTGTCCTGCGCATTCCTTCTGTTTCTGGCCGTCAGAAGGCCTTCTCTACCTGTACCTCCCACTTGATGGTGGTGACCCTCTTCTATGGAAGTGCCATTTTTCTCTATGTGCGACCATCACAGAGTGGCTCTGTGAATACCAACTGGGCAGTGACAGTGGTAACAACGTTTGTGACACCACTGCTGAATCCATTCATCTATGCCTTACGCAATGAGCGAGTCAAGGAAGCTTTGAAGGATATGTTCAGGAAGGTGGGAGTAGGCTTTTGGGGGAATCTTCTACTCGCTAAGCGTTTCAGTAAGAAGACAGTGAAGTGAAAGTGAAGGGAGTGTAATAACCAGTTGTGAGTCCAAGTCTTCTCTGTTGTCACCCTCTTTCCTATGGTTGTCATGGACATCACCAAATGACCAAATTCTGGAACCATGAAAGAACCCCAAAGTCATCAAGCCTTCCCTTCTTTTTCAAGCAAAATTCCTTGATTCTATCTTATAAATAAATCCATTTATTATTGATATACATAATCAATCACATCATAAAATCCTCCAACCTGTGAGATCTTAACCTAAGGGTCCATGGTTACCAGGGAATCTAAGGATGGGCTTCAGAAAATCTGTTGCTGGGGCTCCCTGGGTGGCTCAGCGATTTAGCACCTGCCTTTGGCCCAGGATGTGGTACTGGAGTCCCAGGATCGAGTCCCAGGATCGAGTCCCAGGATCGACTCCCAGGATTGAGTCCCATGTTGGGCTCCCTGTATGGAGCCTTCTTCTTCCTCTGTCTGTGTCTCTGCCTCTCTCTGTGTCTCTCATGAATAAATAAATAAAATCTTTTAAAAAAATCTGTTGCCTAACTAGAATTTAAATAAATTAGAAGGAAAAAAAAAAGAAAATTTATAAGCCCCACTAGTATGCAAATTTTATGTGTTTGACTTAAATGCATTTGTCTGGGAAGAGGATCCACAGTTTTAATCCAATTCTTAGAGAGATCTATTTGTGACCTTTGCCAAAAGTTAAAAACTGATTAAAGTCTCATTAGAGTCTTGCAGTTATTTATGGAAATCAATAATCTTAAGAAAATTGTCCTTATAATCTTAAAAATAAATAAAAATAAAAGAGATAGATTGTGTATTTTTGTATACACTTCACAAAAAAAACATTGGATTTACTGTCAGGTGGAAATGAGGTAAAGCAAATTGAATAAGTGACTTACGTCTCCACAGTAACCCCAGGTGTCTTTGCAAAAGCAGACCCAAGAGAAAGTTCATGAATAGTAACATTTAATGTGATTTTCTAATTTGCACTGTATTACAAAGATGAACTAAAGACATCAGTCATTTTTCACTGGGTTGTGTCCCTTTCATTTGCCCACTTTTTACATTCTCATATCTGTTGTGTTCAATTTCATTTTGTTTTTAGTAAAATTGGACTGGGACTAGAACCTTTAATATCAAAGAATTCTGAATGCCAACTCTTGTTGTACCTACCAGGAACCAGACTTTGTGGTATATTTTATGTTCCTCACCAGATATTTGAAAGGAAGTGAGGATTTCTATTATATACACAAGTATGGACAGCACATCAACCTCAACATAGGGTTGCAAAATTGGCAAGCCGAGCGATTAGCATGCAAAGAGACAGCCATAAAGCTTCAGTGGGCACTGGAAATAGTAATGCTTTCATCTAATTCTATTAATAATACACACAAACACACACTAAATATTCAATCCCCAAAGTATTTCTGAATGGAAACTAAAGGAATGAAAGGAATGACCAGCGGTTTGAAAGGGAAAAAGAACTCTTCTGGAGTTATCTAGGCGTGCTGCCCCGAGAGCAGATGAACTATGATTGCCTTACAAACTCCCTACTTTCACAGAACCTAAAAATCTGAAGCCAATCTCGGATGCTGGCCTAGGAGAGGAATTCCTATAACAATTTGTAATAACCCCCAAGTTTTAACAATAAAGCACATTAAACCATCTATTCCATAAGGAATTTTTTCTTCATCTTAATGTCAGAAGCACTTAGCACAACCGATCTTAGACTCTTACTTAAAATAGTTTTCTTCTTTGGTTCCTCTGGGACTGCACTTGCCTGGTTTTCTATCCACATTTCCAGCTACTTTATTTTGTTTTGCTGGTGCACCCTCTTCAATAAAGCTGTTAAATATTAGGTAATTGTAAAGCTATTCCTAGAACTCACAAATTAAGAGGAATCTGAAAATAAGAATGTATTTCTAACACTTATAACAGAGCCCGGTCCACAGACTGTGCCCAGGAATTATTTGTTGAATAAATTACAGACTCATGAGCAGATGATAGCCACTGCCCTGAGACAGATGCTAAACTCAAGCAGCCAGCCCATGATAGGCCTACTCTAGGGACTATGTGAACCTGAACCTCTCACATACAGCTAGAGCGCTTATTTGCAGTGAAACAGTGAAAAACAATTTCCCTTGCAGCAATCAATGAATTTGTCTGCTTCTAGGAAAGAGTCATCTTTGAGAATTCTAAACTGAAGCTCTGCCATCATACTAAAAATTTGTGCCATCTGGGGTTACCAGAGAGGAGGTGGGGGGTATAGGTGAAATAGATGATGGGGATTAAGGAGGGCACCTTGATGAGCACCGGGTGATGTAGAGAATTGTTGAATCGCCGTATTGTACACATGAAACTGATATAATACAACTATATTAAGATTAAAAAAGAAACAATAAAAAACAAATATTATGAAAAAACATTAAAACATTTATGTCATCTGGGAAACTGCAAGGTAATACATTAATATAAGCATTATTCTCTGTTAATATTCTCAGGGCAGAATGAATATAACTTCTCTCAAGAGAGTCACAAGAAATAGTACAAGACTCCCTTAGATAAACTATCTTGAACACAAGTGCACAATTCCAAAATAAAAGCACATCTAGGGAATTTCATAAAAATTTAAGATTTTATGCTTCAAAGACCATGGAAAAGATGTCACAGAATGGCAGGAGGTATTTGCAAATTATATATCTGAAAAAAGACTTCTATCTAGAATATATAAAGACATCTATTCTCAAAAACACAAAGAACATGAATCAATTAAAAATGGGCAAAGGGTCTGAAGAGACATACAAAATTACACAAAGTCAGTAAACACATGAGACTCGACATCATTAGTCATCAGAGAAATCAAATGAAACCACATACTCGCTAAGATGGCTATAACGGGAAAGACATTAATAAGTATTGATGAAAATGTGAAGAAATGGAACACTTATACACCCCTGGTGTATAAGCCAGAAGACAAGCTGGGGGTTCCTCAAAAGCTTAAACACAGTATTACACATAACTCATCAATTCAACTTCTAGTTATAGATCCAAGAGAAACGAAACCGTTTGTGTCCACACAAAAACTTGTATACATATTCATCCAGCATTAGAAGGCCAAAAAGTAGAAACAACTCAAGTGCCATCAACTGGTGAATGGACAAATATCCATACAACAGAATATTACTTGACAAAAAGGAATGAAGTGCTGATGAATGCTACAACATGGATGAACCTTAAAAGCATAATACTAAGTGAAAAAAGCCAGTCACAAAAGATGATGTATAGTATGATCCCACGTACACGAAATATCCAGAATAGGAAAATCTATATACAGAGAAAGTAGATTAGTAATTGCCCAGGGCTGCAGGAGAGGAATGGGAGGAAATGAGGAGTGACTTTTATTGGGGTACAAGAACTATTTTTGGAGTGATAAAAATGCTGTAAAATTGATTGTGGTGGTGGTTCAACTGCAAATATTCTTAAAAAAAAAAAATTTACCTGGAAGCATCTGGGTGGCTCACTGGTTGAGCATCTGCCTTTGGCCCAGGTGGTGATCCCCGGGGTCCTGGGATCAAGTCTTGCTTTGGGATCTCTGCAGGGAGAGAGGGAGCCTGCAGGGAGCCTGCTTCTCCCTCTGCAGGGAGCCTGCTTCTCCCTCTGCCTATGTTTCTGCCTCTCTGTGTGTGTCTCTCATGAATAAATAAATAAAATCTTCAAAAAAACCCACCACTTGCCTGTACATTGTAAGTGGGTGAATTGTATCAATAATTCCTATACTACATGTTAGTCTTCATCCACTTATACTGGTTCCACTATGAATCCTAAATGATATACTTTCTCTGGCAACTGGCACCGTTTTCTCTGTTTCCCCATTATTTTGAAAAAGTGCCTTGAAGACAGAGACTGGGTCCTACCTGAGTTTGTCTTCTTGCCGATAAGAAGAGTACTTGGTAATTCAGAACACAGCAAAATCTCATCACATTGTTTTTTGAAGGGACAAGTGACATAAAGGCTAAATAAATATCAAATAGCCATGTTCACTGGTGATTTGCGGGGGACTCTTTTGCAGGATTCAAGGCAGGGGGTGTCATGTTGATAACAGTGTAGAGTACTAGAGGCCCACATCAGCTCGCACAATCAACATTACTTAAAAAGCTGTTATACTACAAAAAAAATAAGCAACCAGGACTCTTTTTTAAAAAAATATTTCATTTATTTATGAGAGACACAGGCAGAGGGAGAAGCAAGCTCCCTGCAGGGGAGCCTGATGTGGGACTGGATCCCGGGTCTCCAGGCCCACACCCTGAGCCAAAGACAGATGCCCAACCACTGAGCCACCCAGGCGTCTCACAACTAGGACTGTTAAGGGTCAACAGATAGACAATAAAAAGCCAGCTTAGACCCTTAAGAACTTCAGATAATATAACTATTATTTGGGTTCTGAAACCTACATCTGTCTCCCACCCAAGATCATCTTAAATCTCTTTCTGCTTTTCAGAACCGACTTCCCTTCTTTCACCTCCCTCCTCAGGCTGCTGCGAGCTAGTCTCCTCTAATCTGCACCTCCGGGCCTTTGTTCAGGTTCCTCCAGTCTTGCTTGGAAGCCCAGCCGGGATTCCTGTCCTCACTGTGGTAATAGGAGGAGCAATGGTGCCCCCTTCACCTGCTCTAAAAACCCCTAAGAGTCCCTGACAACCCTAGGAACCTTTGCCCAGGGTTGAGAGCAGGGAAAGAAAGGACCCACTAAACAATCGTGAACTACTCCCCAAGGCCTTTGGGCCACGCGTGCGAAAGCTCTCGGTCTTGTCTTCCCAGCCAAGCCCCTGCAAAGAACTCTTCGTCCGCATGCTCACACTTTCCCTCCTTCTTCAACCCACCCAGCTCCCCGTCTGTCTCCCCCACCTTTCTGCTGTAAATGCTGGTAAAGCCGTGCACAGCCACAGGGGAGCCAAGTGGCTGTGGGAGCGAGGGCCTGCTGGGGCTTCCTCCAGGTCCCCCCCTCACCGGATG